GACTTCAAGGAATATTAATGATAGAACTGAATTGGAATGGAATGAGTGTTTTAATTACATATATTTATAATCACTTTTTAAGAATATAGTGTGTATTTTAAGAATGTACCAAGCAGAATTCGATTGGAAGTTATGTATTATATTGAATGTTATAACCTCAAGGTATATATTGAAGCTTAAATAAGAGTTGAGTGGATTAAGTTAAAAGATATAAAGGTGTCATACTCCAATTACAGGAGAAAATGTGTTTAATGAGAAAAGAAAATATGAAATTGAAACAGGACAAAAGTATAAATATAATGATTCGAATTGATATGAGATAATTAAAATAAAATTGAGAAAATTAAGAGAGGAGAAAAACTATGTAGAAAATGTAAAACAGTAATAAGGTATGGAACAGAACATAAAAAGTGAGCATGAAATTGAGTTTGTGTCTGTATGAAGAAGTGTAACCCGGGACCATGCTATTTTCAAAAAAAAGATGTTTTATTTGTATTATGTTTTTTTGTGTGTGTGAAAACCCAAATAAAATTTTCAAAAAAAAAAAAATGGTAAAGGTTCTCCCGCTTTGAGGCTGAACTAGATGACCTACAAGGCCCCTTCCACCTCTGTTATTCTGTTATGAAGACCTGCATGGTCCCTTCCAAGCTCAATTCTGGAACAGAAATGTGCATTTATGCCGAAGAGGAAGCCATGTGCCCCAGCCGGAGAGAAAAAAAAGACTCTTTTAATCCTGACGAGGGCAGCTCCCAACCCCCTGTGGATGGCACACGCTGGGTGAGCATCATCAATAATTACTGGTTCATTTTTTTTTTAAAGGAGCCCTCCTAGCAGTTTATCCACCCCCACACAGCTGTAAATTACTCATCAATCCTTAATGCTGGAGTGCTGGGCTGGGGCTGACTCAGCCGTCACTCTGTCTCGGCTACCACCACGACCTCCTTCCCCTCCTGCTAGGAAGCCTTAATTGAAGCAGAAATCCCACTTTACCTCACAAGGATGCGCTGGCCGGCCGAGAAGGGCCGCGCGGAAGAAGCAACGGCTAGTCCGCAGTCCGTTGCACGCTTGCTGCCTTCGTATGTTTTTAAAAAAAAGAAAAAAGAAACAGCGCTTTTTCCAAAAGCGCTTGTAATAGTAAGGGGCAGAAAAGGCAACGCAAGGGCGAGGACGAGAGAACGGTGAGGTCGGTGGGGTCCTGAGATGGGTGGTTTGCTGGTAGAGACGTTTCGTGAGCCGGCCAGGTAACATCATCAGTATCAGAAGGGAGTGGGGTTTGCTCCCTTGGTTCTATACAAGTGGCTTGGGTTGGTGCGGAGGGTTCTTGGTGGTTCTATCATTAGGCAGATGAGAGAGATTTAGGTGATAGATAGATGATAGAGTTGAAAGATAGAGAGATGGATATAGAGATAAATGGATGGATGGATGGATGGATTTAAGTGATAGATTGATAGATGATACAGGTGATAGAGAGATGGAGATAGAGATAGATAAATAGATGGATGGATGGATAGATAGATAGAAATATAAGAGATATAGATGATAGATAAAGTATAGAGATGATAGAGAGATGGAAATAGAGAGATAGATCTTTTCTTTTATGTAGACTTGAGAGTATATACACCAGGACAAATTCCTTGTGTGTCCAATCACACTTGGCCAATAAAGCTTCCTTCCTTCCTTCCTTCCTTCCTTCCTTCCTTCCTTCCTTCCTTCCTTCCTTCCTTCCTTCCTTCCTTTCTTTCTTTTTCTTTCTTTCTTTCTTTCTTTCATCTATCTATCTAGATGATGCAGATGATATAGAGATTGTATGTATGTATGTATGTATGGTATTCAGCTTTGTTTGGGTATTTTCCCACGTCATTATAGTTGTGCTTTTAAAGTTGTAGCAACATTTCGGCAGAATCTCATCTGCCATCATCAGGCTTCTGTATTGTGTTCGTCTGATGATGGCAGATGAGATTCTGCTGAAACGTTGCTACAACTTTAAAAGCACAACTATAATGACGTGGGAAAATACCCAAACAAAGCTGAATACCATACATGTAAGTACCCGCGAAAATTTAAGAATCTCAATCTCAATCTCACACACACACACACAGAGATTGAGATATATAGAGATAGGGAGATAGAGGTGATAGAGAGATGGAGTGATATAGATAGAGGTGATGGGTAGATTATAGATTATCTATCTATCTATCTATCTATCTATCTATCTATGAGAGAGAGAGAGATGGATGATATAGTCTGTGGAGATGGTGTCCTTGGTGCTCTCTGAGCTTGGTTGTTTTCTTGCAGACATTTCATGACCCAACTAGTTTACATCATCAGTGCTACAGAGGCATAGGGTTTCCTCTCTGTTTTATACTAGTGGCTTGCCCCATCAGTGTTGGTGGGAATGATCTTCGTGGTTACTTGATTAGGCTGCTGTTTACAGAGATGGATGGATGGTAGACAGACAGACATGGATGAATGGATGTACTTGGTAGATAGATGGAGGGGCGGGGGGAAGAGGATGGGAGGGAGATGGCCGTAACTCAAGGACTACCTTCATTGGGTTTTGAAACTGCAAGAAGACCCTTGGAATTGAGCAACTTACCGCATCCTCAAGCCTTTCAAGTCGAGGATGAGAGTCTGAGAAATGTCAGCCATTCTCGGTGACTCCCAAACATTTAGGCCAGTTTCAATTTGAAATTAATGAGGGGTTTAACGCACAGCCAAATGAGAGATGGGCCCATGTCCTTCACTGAGGCAGAACCACTTCAACCAACGCAGCCCCCAAAAATAAGCCATGGTTTTCCGCTGGTCCTTTGCACTTCATTTATCTCATTTATTTTTATTTTTATTTTTGAATCTCTAGAACAAAAGCAGAGGGAAGGAAAGATGACAATCTTGTTTTGCAGGCTGAACAATAAACAGGCCCGTCAGCAATGTCCTAGAAAGAAGTGGCCTCTCCTAACTAGCGTTTGGGGATCTAACTCAGCAGATACTCTGGGAGTGAAAAACATACCTGGCCTTGGAAACGGGCGGTTGTGAACTTTTCCCGCATCACAGAAGTGTAAAAAACAGGAAAACTTTTAACAGATTAGCAGAGCTGGAAGGGACCTGGTAGGTCATCTAGTCCAACCCCCAACCCAAGTGGGAGACCGTACACAATGGCACAATGGCAGTCCAATCTGACACAATGGCAGTCCAATCTCTTCTTGAAAGCTTCCAGTGATGGCGCTCCCACAACTTCCGAAGGCAACTTCTGTCCCATGGGTTGATATTTCTCACAGTCAGAAAGTTTCTCCTTATTTCCAGGTTGAATCTCTTCTTGTTCAGTTTCCATCCATTATTCCTTGTCTGGCCTTCAGGTGCTTTGCTTGACCCCTTCCTCCTCTCTGTGGCAGCCCCCTCAAATATTGGAAGACTGTTATCCTGTCTTCCCTGGTCCTTCTCTTCACTAGACTAGCCAGGCCCAGTTCCTACAACCGTCATTCGTATGTTTTAGTCTCCGGTCCCCTAATCATCCTGGTTGCTCTTCTCTGTACTTTTTCTAGAGTCTCAACCTCTTTTTTATAGTGTGGTGACCAAAACTGGGAGCAGGACTAGGTGTGGTCTTACTAAGGCTTTATAGAGTGATATTAGTATCTCTTTTGACCTTGATTGTATCCCTCTGTTAATGCAATTTAGGATTGTGTTGGGTTTTTTGGCTGCCACTGCACACTGGCATTTTATAAAACCTCTTGTATCCTGACACCATAGCCACCCCCAAAATAAAAATGGTTAAGATCTTCATAAAACTTCCCGATTGGCTGCATCCAAGAGGAAAGTTGATTTTATCCAAAGTCCACAAAACAAGCTATGTAGGTAGTCCTCAACATAGGACCACAATTGAGCCCAAAATTGATGTTAAGTGAGACATTTGTTAAGTGAGTTTTCCCTGCCACTTTATGAATATTCGAGCCACAGTTTTTAAGTGAGACATTTGTTAAGTGGGTTTTCCCACATTTTATGACCCACAGTTGATATATTTGTCGGGTTTTGTATTAGGATCGATTTTGTATTATGATAGCTAGTCATATACAGATAGCCCTTGACATACAACAGTTCAACTCCCAAAATTTCCCAGCCTTGGCCATGTTAAGATCTGTGGACTTCAACTCCCAGAATTCCCCAGCAGGGGTAGGATTCAAATTTCTTAACAACCAGTTTGTGGGCATGGCCTAATTTGTGGGTGTGGCTTGGTGGTCTTGGTGACTGGGTGGGCATGGCTTATATGTAAATATTGTAAATATTTATGTAAATATTGATTTCTTTTTTAAATAAAAAAGCAACTTTTACCCAAAATCAGGCAAAGCAGGCAGGCAGATTGAGTTGCTCATAGAATCACAGATTCACTCAGAGATCTATCTATCTGCAATCTGCTACCTGAGTCTGCATTGAAAAATAGAAGCTTCAGTCCTAAGGAAAGTTCAGCTCTGCTTTTAGATTAGAGAGAAAGCAAGAAATCTAACGATTTCCTGCTTTCTAGCTAATCTAAATCTCCCAGCACAGCTGATAGTCAGAACAGCTGATAGTCGGGGGGGGAGGGGAGGAAAAATAGCAACTTACCAAAAATTAGGTGAAGGCACAACACAGGCAAGTTGGATGGTGCACATGCCAGATAAGGAGTGGGTGGACAGGGAGGGGAGGGGTGGGGCCAGCCAGTGGTAAAATTTGCCAGTTCTCTGAACTGCACAGAATTGTAACAATCGGTTCTATAGAACCCGTCTAACCAGGTAGAATCCCACCCCTGTTCCTCAGCCAAAAGTGTTTCCCAGCCTCAGCCATATGGACTTCAACTCCCAGAATTCCCCAGACAAATCAGCATTTCTCAATCTTGACCACGTTAAGATCTGTGGACTTCCAGCTCCCGGAGTTGGCTAGCTGGGGAATTCTGGGAGTCGAAGTCCACAGATCTTAACTAGTGGCTAAGCGTGAGGATCGCACTGTTCTTTGTGGTGTATTTCCTCACTTACGTATGATCCCATCTGGACTGTCCTCATGTTTGGGCAGGTAATGATTGGACAGGTCGCTCTGCAGGACTTCATCCGCCGTTGCCCGGGCTAACGCTGCCGCCAGGAGAGAAGGGCAGTTGCTGGAAGACAAAGAAGAAACGGGAAAGGTTTAAACGCTTTACCGTTAAAAAGCAAAGAACCAGATGGAAGAGCGGCACCAGAGTCAGATGTGAGCTGGAAGCTACGTATGTGAGAATTTTGAAGATTAAGATTCAGAGCCCCCTAGTGTTTTGACCTCGGCTTCCCCCAAAAGCACTAAGCCGACTCTTTGTCCCGGCAAAACCCCTTTTATTAAACGAAGGTGGATTTCTTGCATTCACATTCAGCCAAAGGCCTGGCAAACAGTCTTTCAAGGGTGCAATTAGGAGCCCAAACCTTATCTAGCCTGGAGAGCTGCCAAGTAAATACTTCCAAACGCAGTGCTGACAAGGAAGGGCTCAGCACGGTGTCTCTGAGATGCACAGACAGAGCTTCACACGGGTGCAACGAACCAATTGTCTCCTGCAAAAGCCCCCTCCCCTTTTGCTCCTCTTTTAATCCCTATGGGAGGGGCCATTCACCCTCCACCTGTGGCCTTATTCCCACCTCGACCCTTAGTTCATAATTGTTCTTTTCTTTTGGCAGTTCTGTGCACGTGCAGGCTCCAGTTGCTCCCCCGCCTCACTGCTCTCTGACTCCGAAGGCAACTGACCGCTGCCAGCCTGCCCTGGCCCCCTCTCTGCCTCGCACACAGAGCCCTCGTCCGAGCCTTCCTCAGCCTCCACGACTGGCCCATGATCCTCCCCAACCTCCTCACTGTGCTGACAGCTCTGCTAGCTGCTGGCAGGCCACGATACCTGGTGGCACAGTAGTTTAGAAGGCAGTATTGCAGGCTAACTTTGCTCACATTGTCAGGAGTTGGATTCCCCTCAATCTAGACCGGCTCAAGATGGACTCAGCCTTCGCTCCTTCCGAGGAGGGTAAAATGAGGGCCCAGATTGTTGGGAGGCCGACTCTGTAAACCGCTTAGAGAGGGCTGTACGGCACTGTGAAGCGGTCTATAAGTCTATGTGCTGTTACTATTGCAAGCTCACTGCCCACTGCCAGGAGTTTGATACTGACTGGCTCGAGGTTGACTCAGCCTTCCATCCTTCCGAGCTCCGTAAAATGAGGACTCAGATTGTTGGGGGCATAGACTAGACATACCCAATTCTAGCAACCGTTCTTTATATGTTTTAGCCTCCAGCCCCCTAATCACCTAATAGTAGTAACCGTGAGGGGGACCTCGGAGTCCTAGTGGACAACCATTTAAATATGAACCAGCTGTGTGCAGCGGCTACCAAAAAAGCCAACACAGTTTTAGGCTGCATAAACAGAGGGAGAGAATCCAAGATTACGTGAAGTGTTAATACCACGTTATAAGGCCTTGGTCAGGCCACAATTGGGATACGGCATCCAGTTTTGGTTGCCACGATGTAAAAAATATGTTGAGACTCTGGAAAAAGTGCAGAGAAGAGCAACAAAGAGGATTAGGGGACCGGAGGCTCAAACATATAAAGAACGGTTGCTGGAACTGGGCATGTCTAGTGAAAAAAAGGACCAGGGGTGACATGATAGCAGGGTTCCAATATCTCAGGGGCTGCCCCAAAGAAGAGGGAGTCAAGCTATTCTCCAAAGCCCCTTAGGGCAGGATGAGAAGCAACGGATGGAAATTCATCGACTTAGAACAAAGGAGAAATTTCCCGACAGAGCAATTAATCAGAGGGACAACTTGCCTCTAGAAGTTGTGAATGCTCCAACACTGGAAGTGTTTAAAAAAATGTAAGATAACCATTTGTCTGAAGTAATGTAGGGTTTCCTGCCTAGGCAGGGGGTTGGACTAGAAGACCTCCAAGGTCCCTTCCAACTCTGTTATTCTATATTCTATCTTTGTTGCACTTCTCTGCACCCTTTCCAGAGTCTCAATATCCTTTTTGTAATGTAAGGACCAAAAACTAGATGCAGTATTACAGGTGTGACCTTACTGAGGGCTTTATAAAGCAGTACTAACATTTCATGTGTTCTTGATTCTATCCCTCTGCTAATATGACCTAGGATTGCATTGACTCTTTCGGCTGCCACCGCACACAGCTGGCTCATATTTAAGTGATTGCCTACTAGGACTCCAAAATCCCTATCACTCTTATTTTTATTGAGCCCGTTTTCATCTAATCTAACATCTTACTTTTCTCTACATAGAATTTCATTTTGTTAGATAGGGCCCAGTGTTCAAGTCTGGTGAGATCCATCTGGATCTTGAGCCTATCTTCTGGCGTGTTGGCTATTCCTGCCAGTTTGGTGTCATCTGCAGATTTTTCCCAAATCACCGCTCTTACGCTGACAAGTTTTCAAAAATGTAAATTTAGAGCGTTCTTACATAAAAAAAAAAACCCCACAAGTCTAGAATACTGCATCCAGTTTTGGTCACCACACTATAAAAAAGATGTTGAGACTCTAGAAAAAGTGCAGAGAAGAGCAACCAGGAAGATGAGGGGACTGTTGACTTAAAAACATATGAAGAATGGTTGCAGGAACTGGGCATGACTAGTCTAGTGAAGAGAAGGATCAGAGGAGACAGGATAGCAGTCTTCCAATATTTGAGGGGCTGCCCCAGACAGGAGGAAGGGGTCAAGCTGTTCTCCAAAGTGCCTGTAGGCCGGAGAAGGAACAATGGATGGAAACTGAACAAGGAGAGACTCAACCTGGAAATAAGGAGAAACTTTCTGACAATGAAAACAATCAACCCATGGAATAGCTTGCCCTTGAAAGCCCTTGGGAGCTTCATCACTTAAGACTTTCAAGAAGAGATTGGACTCCCATCTGTCAGAAATGGCGTAGGGAAGGGGGTTGGACTAGATGACCTACAAGTTTCCTTCCAACTCTGATTTATCTGTTAAATCTGAGTCACACTGCATCTACCCAAACTTCCATTTTTTTTACATGTCATGTTTCTGTAAATTTCTTTAAGACAGTCTCAACGAACAATGCCCACCAAATAACACGCTGTCGGGAATAAAATGCCAACCTTTTAACTTAAAATGCCATCAAGAGGCGCCTCCTTTTCAGCTTCAGCGGTTGTGCTGTCTACCCACACAGTTGCTCGGAAGTGCAAAAAAAAAAAAAAAAACCACAGTCTAGCAACGCGGGAGTAGGCGGGGATATTCTGAGGCGGCCGATTCTGACACTGGGCCTTGGGTACCGTTTAAGGCAGGGGTCTCCAACTTCGGCAACTTTAAGCCTGGTGGACTTCCACTCCCAGAATTCCCCAGCCAGCATGTCCTGAGTCCCTCCATGGCCGTTAGAAATTTAAGTCCGACCCACCTTGAATCTACTTATTGCTTATTTATTCACTTATTGCTTAATAATTATTACTTATTACTGAGAACTTATGCACGGGAGACAAATTCTTTGCGTGTCCAATCTCACTTGGCCAATAAGGAAGTGAACTCTATTCCATTCCATTCTTGATTCTATTCCATTCCACTCCACTCCACTCAATATTCATTCCATTCCATATTATTTCCATCCCATTCCTTCCCATCCTATTCTATTCCTTCCCATCCTATTCTATTCTATTCTATTCTATTCTATTCTATTCTATTCTATTCTATTCTATTCTATTCTATTCTATTCTATTCT